ATAAAGTAGTAAAAGGAATGGATCTGAAGTAGTTGTGTGATTTTGAGACAGTGGTGCAGTGATGGGAAGGGGAGTAAATAATGTCTTGCTTCTTTTATCCCACTTTTTTCCAAGATTTCTAATCAGAAATATTAATTTTTTTGTGTCCACAGTGCATACTCAGCCCTCACAAAATTTATTTTCACATGCTTTTCCTCACTAAATTAAACCATTCTGCCATGAAAATACCTTTCCTGAGCTACATTTACTGTTCAGTACTGCTGTGTCTCCTGAAACATCCCTAATGTTATCTGTGTCCTAAAGTAAATTTTGTTCCCCTGCATGTTTCCTCACCCAGTGATTTCAGGTCCTGCACTTACTGTGCATTCTCATCCCTCTTCCATGACTTGTTTCCAGTGTCTTATATGTGATCACATTGATCACATGTCTGGTCTTTCCCCTGACCCTATTTAAGGTGACAGTTACTTATCTTCATTTGTGCAAAAGTAGTATTTTTGAGTTCCCATTAGAAAAAGGTAATGGTGGAAGGAAGAAATATTTCCAGAGAGGAGCAGCCAGGCAAGCTGGGTGTTACAGCAATGTAGAGCAGGGAGGAGGACTGATTGAGTGCCCTCAGGGTGACCCAGAGGGTTCAGGTTGGCCCCTGTAGCTAATGGCTACTGACACTAAAGCAGCAGCCTGTATGTGCCCTCCCTTGGGGACTGAGGGGATGTGTGTACCACTGTTGTTGTTCTGCTGATGATCCCCAGGAACACTAAGGACAGGCTGAACGCCCCTCTGAGGCCACAAAACAATGCCATGTTTGATGCAAATTAGAGTGACATGGTTTTGACAGATCTAGCACTACACAGAGATAACAAGAAATCACTGCAGTATGGGGAACTGGACCATGGAGATGCAGGCTTGGGTCTCCAGTGAGGTGCAGCTTCTTGCATAATTCTGGAAGTTTGCTGACTTTTTGTCTGTTGGTTGTACCTGGAAGCGCACAGTTTGAGGAAGACAACTTACATTGAGTTGGGACAGAAGAAAGAGGTGGGCAACAGTGCAGGGGTTCCTTTTAAGTTGCATATAACCTTGTCTCAGGGTCAGCTCCACCACAGGAAGCTTGCAGCACTTATGAATCTGCCTGTCTGATAATAATTATTTTAAAACCAGTGATCACTCTGCTTTAATTTAACCAAATTAATAAGTTTTATATACTTACGTGGTTTTTTACATTTGCTGATTCACACTCAGTGAAGATAATTAGCAAGCATCTCTATTAGCAATACAGAGCGCCTCCTGTGTAAGCCCTTTCATGTGACTTGTCCTATTTGCCTTTTTTTCATGGGTTTTATTTGCTACTAAAGGAATACCACATGTGAAGTGATGTTTGGAATTTAGAGTATTATAACAGCTGATAGCTGTGTGATGACTTCTTAAAACTAAGTCTGAGAAAATCAGAGTGCATTAAACCAAATTGTAAAGATTCTGAGTAGAGACACACTAATCCTCTACAAAGGCAGGGCTACTGATAGATTAAGTCATTAGACTAGATGCACACCCTTCAGAAAAGGAAACTGTGGTCACATCACTAGGCAGGCTTTCATATGATATTAAAAAATCTGCTTCAAATGCATGGCAGGTGGGAAATGCTCTCCTCAGACTCAGTCTTGTTACTTAAAATACAGCTTTGCAGTCAAACTGCAGGGAAGTAAACATAACTAAAATTGTCAAATTGGGAGCTCAAAAGTTAGAAAATGCCAGACTAAGTTTCCTTTTCTGAGTCATCACTCTTCCCCTCCCCTCCTTCCTTGCCTTATGGCCAGTGCACACAATGCAAAATGGTTCTGTGTTTTTGACTGCATCACATCAGGTCTCCATTGAAAAATGTTCAATACAAAGAAAAAAAAAATAGCAATCTGGTGGATAAATCTACAGCAGTCAACATTTACTTCAGATACATCACAAATGGTGATTTTTGGAATACCTGTAAAGTAAGACATTTATATAGATCTCATTTCCCATTTTGAGATTGAAAGGATTAAGAACTGAAGTGTGTAGGAAACACAAATACTGTATTTGAGACATTTCAGAGTGGGCTTTAAACTTCCTTTTTGTCTCATGCTTCAAATATTTAAGACTGTGCCCCCACAGTGTTCTCTTACAACTGTTTGTTCTCAGCACACCTAACTGGGAGCACCTAAAACTATCTATCAGTAGAAAATATTTTGAATTATTTCACCACTATAACATGAAAACTTTATGACACAAAGGAGGGACACAATAAAATTATAAGTAAATATGAGACTTTTGTTTTCATTGTGTGTATGTGTTCTACTCACTGCTTACAGAAGTCAGAAGCACTCTCCCTTCTAGTGTGACATTGCAATTTGAGCCTCAGCTTGGGTAAATGAGGCATGGATTGAAAATGTAGAAAATAGGGCATGATAATAGTTTTTTTTCTAAGGCATTCATAAGAAATTCAAATTAAGCTGTACAGACAATCTTAACTTTTGTACTTTTGACTTTTAAAACACAGTAACAGTTTACCTGTTTGATGTGTTTGTAACATTTTACTTGAAATTCAAAAAAAGACCCCCAAACCAGAAAAACAATCTAGTATATGACATCCTAATTGCATTTATGAGTGATTAGCAGAGCTGCAACTGTTAGCTTTGGCATATAGATATGATTCCTAATTAAACCCATAAATGGCAAATAGCAATCTAGTTTTATTGCAAGCTGAGCTCAGAGCAGAGGAATAAGGGCACTGACAAAAGGCTTTACAAATATTTCCTGACAATGCAGAAGATAAACCTTGCAGCCATGGGGGGAAGCCTGCTCCCTTGTGAGCACATGAACCTGCCTGTTCTCTCCAAACCTGTTTCTTAGGGACAGCTACTGTCCTGTCCATAATGATAACACTTTTCCTTTTCTTGGCTGTCATTCTCAATACTGCATTGTTTCCTCTCTTTGCACCTAACTCTTGCTCCCACAAACAAATCATCCAGCCAAGCAAACTCAGCTTTCAACATTCTGTTGACTTCTGGCTTCAACAAATCTTGATTCCTCTCCTGATGATCCTCTACAAATCCATCTCTATTGTTCCTCCTCTCCATCACTGTTTCCCATTTGCCCATGTTCTTTATTCTTCTTTCTATCTACCTGCATTCCTATTTGTGTTTTAGCTTATCATGATACTCCCCAGAAATTTCTTTAGTATTAGTTTTCTTCATGTCCACAGACTTCATTCCATGTACTATCTTCATCTTTCTCTACAATTTTTTTCAGTTTCCATCTCTTAAGCCAGTTTCTGGCATTTTCCATACAAGTTGTCCCCAGTCTGCTCTCAGTCTCCTCTATTGCCATCTACCCAGTTTCATTTTTCTATCATAGAATCACATTTTGAAGGCAATCCTTATAATGCTAGTATGTTTTGTTTGTCCTCACCCCCAAATGAAGAAAAAAAACAAGGGCTTACATTGTTTCATCATGTTTTCCTCAGTTTGTTCAGATCAAGCAACATTTTAACAGATGTCAATTATATAGACTGTGTTCAGATTAAGCAAAACCATAAAAAAAGTGTTATGGCCCAGAAATCTTGTGCACACGAAAAATGAAAAATTTTCTGTTGTCCCGGGATTGTCAGTTTGAACTTGACAGCAAACCTTGTTTTAAAATAATTAAAAATATTCTGACAAATTAAAATTCTGCATCCAATGTGCAATGTCTTTCTTTTGTCACCTGATGACCACATTGCAGGTGATGACTTGTCATGCTTTGCAGAAGGTGGCTGTCACAATTCATCAGCCTTTTCAGATGAAGGAGAGATTATCCCCTTTGATATATCAAGAAAGCTGAATTTGGGCAGCCACCTCCAAAGATATGATTCAGTCAGAAGGTACTGGGAAGCAGGGATCAACTGAGCAAAGATGAATACTAAAAAAAAAAAAAAAAAAAACGCAACGCAAGGGTACGGAGCGGCAGTGGAGGGGAA